TGGACAACAAATGTTGGAGTAGATGACGTCATTTACTCAATCCTTTTGTTCTTCCATCTTTTGAATCAAAATTTATCTGATGTGGGATAATTCAAAAACAAACATTTTCCCGCAATTGTTTTTAATTTATATCAATGAGTCATATATTTGTATTGCTTGAAGTTTTGAAATAAGGCCATTTTCATGCAAGTAGCACTTTAAAGACAGTCAGTATGGTTTTCCTACTTGGCCTACTAAGCCAGTCAGTATTAAAGATAGTCAGTATGGAATCCTACTTGGCCTAAAAAGCCAATCAGAGAATGTTTCATGTCTTACTTTTGCCAGCAATTTTTATCGCTTATTAGTTTGATTTTCTTTCAGGCTTGACAGTAGCTGATCTAGTGTTTCCATGGTAAGATTACATTGTTTATATACAGATGTTTCATAATAGAGGCAATTTCTAACATGACAGATTGGTACCTCTATTAACTGGTCGTCCTCGGGAATTTCCAAAGTGGCCCCTGAGTTATTAGTACGTTTTGGGCTGACCGCTAGATCACTTTATACATCGACTGGATGTGCTGTGAAGATTACCGTAGATTTCGTGTAATGACCCAAAACAGAAATCGAATAACCTTTTTTACTGTCAAGCGATATATAAGGGACACGTGGAGATATCAGAGTGACAGAATGTTTGTTTAGTTGATATTTTTTTGATATTTCCTTTCTTATTTACTTTGTTGTGCGGACTGCAGCTACATGTATACTGACGCCTATTTCAAAATTCTTTTGAAAATATTAATTACTCATGGARACCCAGAGATTGTTTGCAGGCTCAAGACTGTGGACTGTGTCCTAGTGAATGACRACGTTTTTTGAAATAGCTGTATATAACTGACAGTAGAACTGCTTTTAGGTTCATGTGGATCATGGGCGTGTCCATCACTCTTTCATTTCACGCGTTACGGAGACGTCAGACAAAAAATCTTCAAATTGTTGTCAAGATTATAAGAAGAACAGCCATTCTATTTCTACTTGGAGTTTTCACTAGCAACTGTAAGTACCAGAGAATCTTCTGTATCAAGTACGATAGGTATTGGGAGGTTTGCTTATTCGTACTAACTTTCGCGAGTCTTTAATTTCGCGACTTTCGCAGTTCGTAAAAAATCGCGAAATTRAAACCCTGCATAAAGAGTTTACGCAAAAATGTCGAGATATGTAAATCAATTATTGGCAAAAACTCGAAAAGTCCACGAAATATGTAGCTGCGAAAATGAGTACGAATAAAGAGTGTTAATAAAGGTTTTTATTTGTTSTAGTGGGTAATTTAGCTACGTATCGTGTACCTGGAGTACTACAGAGGTTTGCTGCTTGTTATTTCGTGGTTGCAATCAYTCAGGTTCTTATCAGTCCAAGGGAAGACGTACAGGTATGGAGCGCATGATACCTTTTAGAAAATTACTTTTATCCGAAAGTGACACGCTGCAAAGCACTTCTGTGAAGAAAATGATAAATTTTGAATTGTATTTTCTGAGTTATAGACATTTGAAAATTGAAAATGCAAATGAAGTGACGTCAACTAAGGAATTGGTCCAGACTTTTTACATTGTTTGTGTTATGTTGTTCTTGGTTGAAGAGCTCAAAACCATCAATCATAATAATAATTGAGAGCTGAAAATTCTTTTTCCAATGTAACAAAAAGAATAGCGTCCTCTTTCATGATTTTGTATTTTACATCATTCCTTAGTAGACGTCACTTCATTAACATTATCTAAGTTTCAATTGCCCATAACTTAGAAAATACAATTTAAAATCAATTTCTTTCTTCACAGATGTACTTAGCATCATTTTCYYTKTTAGATGAGAATGAATTTTTAATAGTGTCATGTGCACTTCAAGCAACGAAGACAGAACTAGCCGCACATTTTCTATTATAGTTTATGTTAAATAATGTTCGTATGTTTGATAATTAGCCGACAGGTGTCTGGTGGGATAGCATACGGGACATTGTAAGTCTGTGGGGCCAGTGGTTCTTCATGCTTATCATACTCACTACGTATATCATAGTGACGTACGCTGTCAAGATTGACAACTGCCCCACGTAAGTACTGTTGGCACACGTTTGATTTGTGTATTCAGATTCATGATGTTCAAACATGGAGAACATAGAAAAAACGCCATTGTCTGTTGGAGTTGTCCGTGAGTTGTTGTTGTTGTTGTTGTTGTTGTTGTTTCAGGAGATGAGAGAAAGAGCATCAATCTCGTTTCCATGCCTTTATCATGAAGAGATGAGGACCTGGGGACAAGGTTGCATTAGCATAACCAAAAACAAAACCTGAAATATAAGAGTACTTATTAGTATAAGAGTACGTTAGTAGATTTTCTACGTGAACCATATTCTGTAGTATTACGAGGCTTATTTTGCGATTGTCTTGCGATTCAAAAACAACAGCAAAAACAACAATTTATGTGGCATATTTGAAGGGTTACAGAGAATGTTGTTATGCTAATGAGCGATGAGAACATTCTGGCAAAGGGTCCATAGAACCCACAATACCTTTTGGTCGTGCTTTTCTCTTTGACAACCTCTTTCGAAAWGGATGTTGGATATATCTATAGTTCAAATCAACTCATAGACAAATTTTTATGTTGTGTTTGCAGTGGGTATACTGGTCCRGGTGGTATCGGCAAGGGCTATCCTCAGGCCTATAATTGTACTGGAGGTGTGGCATCTAAAATTGACCATAAAATATTTGGTGTTCATGTTTATCAACAAGGAACATTCAAGGTACTGGTTCGTCGCCCTTTCTTCAATTTACGTACACTTGAGTCAATTTTTTGTGATAAAAATATAAGGCGATTTTGTGCATAAGAAAATATATTTATTCCATCAAAGCAGCCTTGGTTACATTTGTGTATATCTTCTTCATCATAATCATTCTCCTAAAATCATAACTTTACTCGTTTGTCCGCTCTCCGGAAGTTTTGAATTAGCAACAATGTGTAGATTATTGTAAGTTCGTTGCCAAATGAAGTCATTAGCAACAATGTGTAGATTATTGTAAGTTCGTTGTCAAATGAAGTCATTAGCAACAATGTGTAGATTATTGTAAGTTCGTTGCCAAATGAAGTCATTAGCAACAATGTGTAGATTATTGTAAGTACGTTACCAAATGAAGTAATTAGTAACAATGTGTAGATTATTGTAAGTACGTTGCCAAATGAAGTCATTAGCAACAATGTGTAGATTATTGTAAGTTCGTTGCCAAATGAAGTCATTAGCAACAATGTGTAGATTATTGTAAGTTCGTTGCCAAATGAAGTCATTAGTAACAATGTGTAGATTATTGTAAGT